AACAACATGGACATATCTCAGAATAATTACACTGAGTGAAAGAAGGCAGTCAAAAAAGAATACATACTGTGTGAGTCCATTTAAGGAACACTTCAGAAAATGCAAACTAATCTATAGTAGCAGAAAGCTGTTGAGTAGTTACATGGGGATAGGAAGGCAGAACAGAGTGGGATAGAAATATCCCAAAGGTGATGGATGTGTTCATTGTCTGGGCTGTGACAATGATTTCACAAGTACATACATGTAAGTCAAAACTTACAGGGCCAGGTGGTGGTTAAGTGGTAGCTCACCTGGACCCACACAGGAGAGATCCCAGGTTGGCATCCTGGGACCTCTGTGAGCAAGCCAGGTGTGTGTGTGTGTGCCCGTGATCCAAACCAGTTGAGATCTGGGGTGAATTGCAACATGAAGACTCTGTTGAAAGTACCTGCCTCTCTGACTCTGTTCCTTTCTCCCTCTCATGGGACAAATAAATAAACTAAAAAAAAAAAAAATTGTACACTTGAAATATATGCAACGTTACAGGTCAATAAGACCTCAAATCTCTCTAAAACAATGTAAAATAGTATTGGAATATTTAAGAAAAGTTTAAAGTCCATTTATTAGATTTATAGCAGCTATTTAAGTATTAGAGACTTTTTATTAGATAATTGGAAATATTAAAATAGTTAAAGGAAGTTAAATGTAATTTATAAATTAAATTTTAAATGTTTGAATGAGTTTAATTAAGTTTGCAAATAGTACCAAATATTAATCAAAAGTCTCCTTCATGGGGCCCGCAGGTGGCATGGTGGTTAAGGGCGCTAGACACCCACATGGCTGACCATGGTTCAAGTCCCGAACCTGGTGGCTTGCTTTCTTACTTTTCATCTCTCACTGTCTCTCACTCTGTCCCACTCTGGTCAAATTTAAATAAATAAATTAATACCTTTAAAAAAAGTTTTTAAAAAGTTCCCTTCATTAAGATTGTTAAAATTTTCTAGAATTAAGACCAGCAGATGGCATAATGGTTACATTGCTGGACTTCCACATAGTCAACTGCAGTTCAAGTCCCAGACCCGATGGCTTAAAACTCATACCAGGCCCATATGTGTGCCTGCCCAAGATCCTGAGAGGAGAATGGAGGAGAAGGGGTTGCAGCATGGTTGTTCCCCCCGGGGGATGATTTTTCACTTTCTGTCTGTCTCTCCAGCAAGTGCACCACCCTATAGCAAAAAATCTATCTAAAAAACAAAAAGTCTAGAAGCATAAATCAAACAGATTTGTAGTCTAATTTTTTTAGAGAGGTTTTTGCTATAGGGCGCATGCATTAACCAGAAAGACAGAGAGAGACAGAGAGACAGAAAGCGAGAAATCATCCCCCAGAGGGGATGGCCACACCACAGTCCCTTCTCCTCCATTTTCCTCTCCGGATCTTGGGCACGCACACGCACATGCCCGGCTTGAGTTTAAGACACCAGGTCCGGGAAACAAACTGCAGTCGACTAAATGGGAGTCCACCTACATAGCCATTACACTAACTGCTGACCCCTGTAGGCTACATTTAAAAGCTAAACTTAAAGAACTAATCCTTAAAAGAAAGGACTGTATTTTAAATTCATAACTTTAACAATGTTAAACAACTTTAACAATAATTGTAATCAATTCTTTTTTAACCAAAGTAAATTCTGAATAATCTGCATTACATAAAAATCCAGGAGCAAGAGTGGGGTATGGCATCCAAAACCTCAGTTAAACATGCTGCTCACCAGTCACCTGAAACTCATCATGTCACTTAGACTCTCCAAAGCTCAATTTCCTCATCCATAAAGAGAGGAGTATTTTCCAAAATAAATAATACATTTATTATTAATGACTTAATATGGATATATTTCATATTGATATACAGCACATTAGTCAGAGAGAACATTCAGTAAAGCATAAAGCGATGTGCAAATATCAGAAATAAGTAGCATGATATCACGCCGTAGTGACTTAGATCCCGGGCCGACCAGGGACATGAAAAGGGTGACCCACGTGTCCTCAGAGACTAAGCATGACTCAGCACAGCCAGTTCATGGAATTTCCCCAGGGCCTCAACCACGGATGTCACGTCAGATGTTGGTCAGGAGAGAAGCTGCCACATATGGAGTCGCCCACTCCACACACAGCAGGTGGAAATGTACTTCTAGCAGTCTTGCGACACCCCAGGTCCCCCTACCCCCTCCTCCAGCCTGCAGGCAAACCAGGACAAGGAGGTAACAGGAGAGCAGCAATGAGGGAGACCTGGAGTGATGTCTCCTGGCATAATACTGAAAAACAACAGCAAGAAAACCCACAACCACCTCCCTCCAGGATCACCAGGGAGAAAGCAAAAGAGGAGGGGAGGGCTATGAGCTTAGATAATAGAGCCTTAGTGACAGTAACCAAGCCAAGCTCGGGGGAGTAGCAGGGCCTTAGGAACTAAGGAGCCCAACGAGCTGTGACAAATTAGACGACTTAGGAGAAAACGCCCTACTTAGTGACTAATTTTCC